CTAATTATATTTAATAAATTTTTTAAATTCATATTTGGTTAATAGTATATATTTATATTAAATTATTAATTTTAATTGTTAACTTATATATATATATATATAAATAGTTTTCTTTTTTCCATAAAAATCATAATATTAACCTTAATAATAATATCATACCAATAATATTCATACAATAAATAATTAATATAACATCATTAAAAAATATATATAACATATTATTACAATCAATAATTATTTTTAATAACAGAATATGACAAAATAATTCAACAAAATATACATATGAATTATTCCTATCTATATAAACATATAATATATATAATTAAAAAATAAATAAACAAGTAAATACATAACATTATATATATATATATATTTATATATTTATCTATATAGTTATATATATAAATGTATGTTATTATTATAAAACCATCAGCTTACACATCAATTCACCATTCAAAACTACAAATTATTCAGCATTCAAAACTATATTAAATACTTACCTCTGACTTTCTCGGTTTCACGTCGTCGAACTTGGCCCTTTGCCTTCGGGAGGTCGTCGGAGAAGATGACGGCCGACTTCGTCGGAGAGTCGGAGAATCAAACCTGCAACACGAGAAGCCATAGTTAGCAATGGAACAACAAAACAGCTGCTACATCATGCCCAAATGACGTCGGAACAGCGTCGGAAGGGAGATGCAAAGGGTGGCGCTGGATCACGAGACACGCCACCCCCGGAACCGACGTCGTCCCCCTGCATGCAGCCGCTCCATAATTGATTATGCTCGACTGCATAATCGATTATGTGGCACCCATAATCAATTATGGGGTCACATAATCGATTATGCAGCCATGCATAATCGATTATGTGAGCCTGTAGCCTGCAGCTTCCATGGCTTCCTCCGGCGACCTTCGACCATTCCGGCAGCCATGTCATGGACCGTTCTGCCATGGTTTGCTTCTCCTTCCTCGTTGCCTTCGGCCACCATACCTGGGAGGGCAGCACGTTGAAACTACGAGGAAAGCTTCTGTGACCTTCTTCAGCCTGTGTAGAGCGACGTCCTTGGAGAGCTTTCATGGAGGTCCTTATACGCACATATTGAGTGCTTTAAACTGGAGGTACATAATGGGGTAGATGGGTAGCTTTTACTACCTTCAACTGTGCCCCCGTGAGTTTGCATGTGTTACATGTGCTTTCTGTCCTTCCATGCAGAGTAGCAGTAGAAATTGCATGTCCTTTCTGTGCATGCATGCAGAGCAACAGTAGAAAGATGCTTCCACGTAGCCGAGGGCAGGTTGGTCTTTTTGACATAGCTGACAGGGCTTTCCCCAGAGTTCCCCTCCTTTCTCCGTTGATGAGCGAAGATCATTTTGTACGTCTCTCCCGCTTTTCCTCGCTTTTCCTTCCTCGCTTTTCCTCGCTTTTCCTTCCTCGCTTTTCCTTCGAAACAAACACAAGTGACCCCCTCTTTTCTTTCTACAGCAATAGTCTTTCCGCGGAAACAAACAGAGACTTAAAGGGCAATCCTCATTCACCTCATGTAGTTATTGATGTGATGACATTCGTCTCATGTAGTTATAACAATCACGTTGATGACGGCGTTAAGGAACTGTGGATGACATGACAAATCTAGTAGTATCCGTTAAAGGATACATGCACTAGTTTTACTTGATTCGTACCCTTAATTATAGGGCCACGTGGGAGAGCCTATCATGTCATAGTACAACTTCAGTGGTTGTCTCTTTGATTAGTATTTAGTCTTTAGATTTTATGGTATGATGATCACGTTGAGATGTAACCTTTCAATAAAACATTCTTATTTGTAGGCCAAATTTGAGGGGATTAGTGAAGTACTTAAGCCCACATATGATAGAAGGATGCAACATAAAAATCACAAAAATGGTATTAAGCAAGATGTTGCGTATCAGGAAAGGAAGACCCAACCCAACAGCAAGTCATGATGAGCATTCTCCACCACATGGAAGAGTGATGCATTTTTAGCAGCACCCATGGGTATGACAGAAGAGCTTTTGACATTCTGCACACAACCAGATGTCTTGATTGCAACATCTAATGATGCATGCAAAGTATTTGGATGTGGAGCTTGTTGGTAATTGGGTTTTGTATTTTCATTTGACATGATAGATCTAGATGGATCCACCTTTCCAACTTCAGCTTTGTTTTGGCCTTCTCTTGGACTCTCTGCTCCATGTTTTGGCAAGCCACCAGGTACAACAGAGTGTGGTTGCAGTCCCCCATGTGGAGTGCGCACTAAGGTAGTGTTTGTTTTCGGTGATTTATTGTTCATGAGAAACGAAAGGTGAAGAAAGTGGGTGTTTGTTTCTGGTGATTTGCAAGGAAAGGAAGGCGAAGAAAAGCGATAGAAGCGCCGTTGCCATCCTCGCGCTTTTGCGAAGAAAAGATATGAAAGCCACGTAAGATTTGTGAAAACCCGATAATACCCCTGTGTCCCATGCATGCAGAGACTGTGCCATGCAGCAGAGGAATCTCTGCCATGGTTCATGGGCCTTTCTCTTTCGTTTGAGTGGCACAGTGACGTGTTTGAAATGAGTTTATAAGAGACTTGGAAGCTCTGTGTGTGATGTGTGCTGGTGCGAGGGTGATTGTTGTTGCAGTGATTCTCGACGGGGCTCCATTGAAGGTAAGCTTCATCTCATTTCTTTATGCATAGGAAGGGTAGGAATGAAGCATAATCGATTATGCATGCCACATAATCGATTATGCCAGATTATGCCTCAGCATAATCGATTATGCAAGCCCATAATCGATTATGTGGCATGCATAATCGATTATGATGGTCTATTTTCGCTTCCAGGCGAACCCAGAACGGACCGTTCCAAAAATCAATTTTATGAGCAATATGCGAACTCAGAACGGGCCGTTCCACTTTGAGAACGGGCCGTTCCACTTTTAGAACGGGCCGTTTCAGACATGGCCGTTGTGAGGTAATTTGTAACACCAGAATGGCCCGTTCTGGTCTGAGAACGGGTCGTTCTGGATATCAAATTTTGGCATGACAAATGAGTCCAGAACGGCCGTTCTGGATTCGAAACGGGTCGTTCTGGACACATTAATTTGTTAATAAATAATGGTTATTTAATACTCTTTTTCACACACACACACACGTATATATATATATATATATATATATTTAAGGTATTATATATTAAATATTAATATTTAATTTATATATATATATA